TTAAAATAATATGTGTGTATATGTATGTGTATGTGTGTGTGTATATACACACACACACAATTAACATGAATAATAGCAAGTATTGAAAGTTGTTGCTGTTAGAAAAGAAGTTATAAATAAGCAAGAAAGCCTGGAATTTACTCCTTGGCAATGAATTGAGAATCAGAAGTATCAGGGTAAAATCTATTAGGTTCACTGTATCCACACACACTGTAGATAAGGAAATAACTTTAGATGTGTGTGTAAATGTGTAACTACCATAGAAAAGTATCACAAATTTAGCTACTAAAAATAACAAAATTTTGTCTTTATTTTTGAGTGTCAGAAATCCAGACTGAGTTGGCTTGTTTCTCTGCTCTAGGTTTAATGGCTAAATTCAAGGTTTTGATGGCTTGGTTTTCATTAGGAGGAGACTAGGAAGAAAGTCCTTGTAAGCTCCTTTTAGCTTTGGCACAATTTAGTTCCTCACAGTTACAGGACCTTAGTCTCTGTTTCTTTTCTGACTGTAAAACCCACAAGTCCCTCCCATTAGCCTCCTGAACAAAGGTATCTGTATCTCAGAAGCAGTGATCTGGTAGGCATGGTGGCACATGCCTGTGATCCCAGCACTCAGGAGGCTGAGGCAGGAGGATTGAAGTGAACTGGAGGTCAGCCTGGGCTACATAATGAGTTCAAGGCCTGCCTGAACTGTGTAGCGACCTTGTCTCAAACAAACAAACAAACAAACAAACAAACACAAAAACCAAACCAAACCAAAGCAAACAACAACAAAAACCAAAACAGAAGCAGTGATCTTTTTAAAAAATTACTTTGATACTTGATTTTAATGTGATACATGTAAATATTAATAAAGAAAATATAAAAACAGCTCATCTTACTTCAAAAAATAAAAATGTAATACAAAATAATTAGAGAATAACAGTAGTTAATACACTGTAAACCATAATCGTAAAATAATGGCCAAAATATTATTCAAAGTAGAAGTCATAGACAAAGAAGGCTTTCTTAGAAAAAGCAAACAGGTGATAGCACAAAACACTTTTTTCAGTAAACTAAGAGAAACTAGTAGAATGAAACAAATTACTATAAATACTTGGAAATATTTTTGAAAGATGAATAGAGAGTTTAATAATTAAGTTTAATTGTTTGAACTTCTCCCTACTTCCTATTTCTCTTATCTTTTATTTTTCTCTTTATTTATATATGCATTTATTTTGAATTTCTCATATAAGAGAAATCATGTGATATTTAAATTTGTGTTTGACTTATTTCTCTTAATATTATGTTCTCAAATTGCATTCATTTGGGTATGAATGCCTCAACTTTGTTTCTTTATGGCACAGTTGTACTCCATTGTGTACAAATATCACACTTTCTTTATACATTTGTCTTGTGATAAGCATATATTCTGTTTCTAAGATCTAGATTTTAAAAGTTGGGCTGCTATTAACATAGTTATGTATTTATCCCTATAATATTATGAGTTCAGTACTTTGTGTAGGATACCTAGAAAGATTTAACTAGGCAAAATAGAATTTCCAATTTTAGTTTTTGAAAAATTACCACACTGATTTCCATAATGGCTGAGCAAATTTACACTTGATCTTAGCCAAAAGGCCGAGAAGCGATTGAGCAAATTTACAGTCCCACAATGCAGAGGAGTTCCATTTTCCCCCATTTTCACCAGCGCTGGTGATTATTTGATTTTTTGGTGCTAGTCATTCTTTCTGGAGTAAAATGGTATCTCGATGGAATTTTAATGTGCATTTGTCTTAGGGCCAGCAACATTGAACATTTTTTCTTGTATTAATTGGACATCTGTAATTCTTCTTTTGAGAGTATCTATTCATTTTGGTTGTCAATTTTTTTATAGGGTCTTTTATTTTGGACCTCTAATTTTTTGAGTTCTTTATATTCTTGATGTTAGTCCTCTGTTGGAGGAATAGCTGGGAAAAGTTTTTTTTTTTTTCTTTCTGTCAATTGGCTGTTTACTTTGTTGGTCATTTCTTTTGATTTGCAGAAGCTTTTAATTTGATATGATTCCATTTGTTGATTCTCAGTATTATTTCTTTTGCTATTGGAGTTCTCCTCCAAAAATCCTTCCCCATGTTTATGCCATTGTAGAGATATTTCACTTCTTTTGTTGGATTAATACTAGGTATTTAATTTTTCTTTGTGCTACTGTGAATGGTATTGTTTTCCTAATTTATTTCTCACGGAGTTATTAGTGTATAGAAACACTTGATTTTTGTGGGTTGATTTTGCATCCTGCTACTTTGCTGAATTTGGTTATTAATTCTAGAAGTTTTTGGGTCTTTGAAAAAACTAGAAAAGATAGAAAGAAAAATAAAAAGTAAAGTTTTCAAATAATATAAAGATGGATCTCGATGTAGAAAAACACATGGCAAAACAGTAGGAGTGAAGGAATAATTGAGTGGAAATAAAATGGAAAATAAAAGAATAATGCAAACAACCAAGGAAATAGTTGGTTCATTGAAAAGATATATAAGATTGATATATTGAGAGGGAGAGATAGAGAGAACCTACATAAAATTAGAGGTAAGAAAAAGGAAACATTACCAGTGATACAACAGAAATTCAACAATCAATAGACAGTATTCTGAAAAACTATATGCTAAGAAAGTGTACAATTTACAAGAAATGGACACATTTGGGGGCACTTATGACTTACAAAATTGAGTCAAGATGATGTTAAAAAAAACCCTAAATACACCAATGAAAAGTAATGAGATTGAATCAGTATAAAAATCTTCCAAACAAAGAAAAGCCCAAGAGTAGATGGCATTAATACTGAGTTTTCCCAGATTTTAAAGAAAAACTTACACTCTTCTCAGGCTATTCCATGGAACCGAAGGAGAGGGAACACATATGAATCACTCTATGAGGTCAGCACTACCCTGCTAAGGATAAAAAACAAAATCCACAACAAGAAGGATGGACAGAAGGAAGGAAGGAATGAAGGAGAGATGGCAAGATGGAGGAAGAAAAGGAAAAATCACAGACTAATATCCCTAATGAACATAAATGTGAATATCTTCAACATAATACTTGAAAGTGAATGTGCAGGACATAGAGGAAGAGGAAACTAAATTTAAACAGTTTTGGTGGGAATGTAAATTAGTATAGTCATTACAGAAAACAGTATGGAGATTTCTCAAAAAACTAAAACCAGAACTATCATATGATGCAGTTATGCTACTCCTGGATAAATATCAAGAAAATGAAGTCAGTATACAAAATAGATATACTTTATTTGCTGTGGGACTCTTCAAAATAACTATGCTATGCACTAATCAGAAGATGAATGGATAAAGAAAATATGGTCTGTACAAAATTATTGTTCAGTCATAAAGAAGAATGAAACACTATCATTTCTAGCAAAATGAATGGAACTGGAGAATGTCATGTTAAACAAATGAAAGCCACATACAGGAAAAGATCACATTTTCCCTCGTATGTGGATACAAACAAACACAATCTGAGAGTAGAAGTGGAACTGCTGAAGACTGGGAAGAGTGTCTTGGGCACAAGAGTACAAGGAAAAATGCATACGATCACTGCACCAGGTAAGCACGTAAAGATATAATGCAATGAATTACACTAATCTCTACAATTAATTATATTATTAATTAGAATTAAAAAGTCATTTGACATTCTAAAAAAAGTCAATTGAAAAATTCGAAAATTATGAAGATGATCCATTATTTCTAATGAGAAAGCTTTGCAAATTAGTGTAGCATTATTTAATCTTTTGATCGTCAGTGAATACAAAATATATTACATACTCTGAAGGATGTGGGTATTGAAATGATCTACAGGTGAGTCAATTCTATGAATGAAAAATGAAGTCTTTTCTCTTATAGAGAGTGTTTTTAACTCTGTGAGTTGATAGATGTCCCTATTGATACAGGCAGAAAGCTACTTTTTTAAAAATTTGATCATTAGGGTAATTCTAAAAGTTATATTGGGAGTAGTGAAATCCTATGTAACTTTTTACACAGCACAGAAATTGAGGAAGTGAAATATTTCAAACATTAACGGTATGCACACATTAGCCTATACATTTTAAAACATACCTTTTATTTTGTATTTTATTTTATTTTCTCCATTTTCACCTATCATTCCAAATATACTTTATGTAAATTTTATTACAAAATTTGTCAGATAAATTTGAATAGATTTACTCTTAATTTTTATAAAATATTATTTAAGAACACAAAGAATTCATGCAAATCTGCCAAAATTAAATTCCTGTTACCAAAATCACATAAGAGGAATTTATTTAGTAATTTTGCATAGTTTTCCACAGACTGTTTATTGGCAATTAATTGAGATACACATTAAAGAGAACAAACTCATGGCATTAAAATTAAGAAATTTAATGTTAGTGCAGCAGGATTATTAAGACAGTAAAAACATTAAAATATATTATTTTTAAAAGCATCATCATTAGGGATGGGGATGTAGTTCAGTGGTGCCACGCCTGCCCGGAAAGCATGAAGTCCTGAGTTCAATTCCCAGTACCAACACCACAAAAAAAAAAAAAAAAAAAAAAAAAAAAAAAAAAAATCATCATTTTAAATTAGTGATAGAAGATTGATGTTTTGATCAGATTAGGTTTTTATTGTCCCTAGACTCCAAATTATGGAAATAGTCACCTGGAAAAGGAAAACTGCTCTAAAAATTGTAATTTAAAAAGGGTATTTACAAAGGGAACAATAAAAATCTTAATGAAAGAGACTGGACTTTAGATTACTGGCGAAGATGGTATGTGTCATATTTCTCCAAAGTGACTATTACTTTTCCTTCCCATTGTCTAGTTTTGAACATAGGTCACTAAATTCAGTGGGGACTCAAAAGCAGTGAGGTAGGAGGACTGCTGAGCCCTCGATCCTTGAGGGGAAATTACATACATATATTATTCTGAATTCTTTCTTAAGGAAGCTTTAAGGGAAGATGTGACCATACTCTATTGTGAAGTCTATGCAGGTGAATTAGTATTCATTGATTTTGAATGAAAGTCAACGTTAAGTTGGGAATAACAGTTGCAGTTAATTACAAGATTAAAATTCAGATGAATGGGAAGAAAGTGTGTGGTAAAGAGAAAGTAAAGACAGCACATTCAAATGCCTCAATAGAGATGCTTATCTAGGTGGAGCTACCACAAAAAGGTCCATGTGAGAACGATAACATAACCTTTTGTATTTTAGTACCATTGTGTTCTGGTAACAAGATTCTCAATTTTAGTCCAGTGCTTTAGTGCCTTTAGTCACTCGAAAATGAAGGTTTTAGAATCATCAACTTTATTGAATTCATTTAATTTAAATCACGAAAATCTCAAAATTCAGTTGTTACAATAATTATTTTTTACCTTTTAAACCTTTGTATGAAAGTGATTTCTGTAAAATAGTAAGCAGATCCAGAAAAAAAATTCTTATTGTTTGGAATTAGATACATAGCTTCTACATGTATAAATTTCCCAGTAGTATAAGCCAAATCTAGGTAGGTGATGTGGCCTTTCCCCACGCAGCCCCGCTCACATGCACTGGCAGTTAATAAATTTTGTTTTCACAATTGCAGGAAGCCTTGCAATGGTTCTTGACCAAAGGATGATTACAACTTTTTGATTTTTTCAAATTCTTACAGTTGGAATATTCATCTTGGTAATCACAACCATTGGCTGGAATAAAAATAGAACAGTCCCTTCATCATCACTGTTCTCCGTAGCAGACACAGGAACAACAAATTCAGGTTGATATTACACTGTGATGACAATTTCATGTCTTGAGGATCATGCAGGTTCCCTTAGTTAAATTCATTGAACTCAAGTAAAACTTGAGCTTTTTGAAATGTTTCTAAAATAAATCGTCTTACTTTCTTCTCTATCGAATTCGAATAAAATTAAGTGAATCTCTCTAGACCTGCACTCAATAAAATTGGTAGGGATAAGTTGTGTACTTCCTTTTGGTTGAAACTTAATTTATATTAAACTTTTATGTCTTCAGCAGTATCAGTTACATTCTAAGTGCCCGTGTATCAAGGGGCTATTCTGCAGGACAGTGAAAACATTACTCATTTTCATTATTGCAGAGTTTTATTGAATAGTGTTCTAGAATCTAGACTCGAATATTTCTAGGGATTCTCATAAGTGATTTAGGGGAAGACAAAGATGTAGAAATGTAAAAGGTGGAGACACCATCAATATTATGATTTTATATTTCTACTTCAGTGTCTCTCCATGGCCACAAATTGAACAAATCTCAACCTAAATTTATCATCCTATCTACAAAGCTTGATGTTTCTTTGAAATTCAACCTTAAATCCTCTTTTGAAGTAACACGGTATCAGAGAAATGGCACTCCTAATAACTAAATAATTCAAATTAGGAATCAGGAATCAACAGGAACTTATATTTTCTAATTCTTGTTTTCTGAGATGGGGCTCAGGGTGTTGTCCAGGCTGGTCTTGAGCTCCTGTACTCAGATGTGCCTCCTCCTTTGTCCTTTCAGTAGCTGGGGCCATAAGTGTGGACCACCATACCCAGCTCTCTGTCCTTTTTTCTGCACTCAGCAATGCAGTGGTACCTCCATTCATGAACCTGGTTCTTTCTACAATTCTGATCACAAATTGACTATGAGGAGAAGTGAATCAAATTCAATGGATAGGTTCAATAATGATCATATGGGGAAATTTGATTCAGTCTTGACAGTTGAATTTGCACCAGAATCATGGAGAGCACTGAGTTCATGAGCCAAGGTACCATTATAGGTAACAAAACTTTTCCTTTTCTTTCATGTTTATCTTTCTTTTTATTCCTTTTGCACTCATGTAGTAAAGCTACCCATTTTTTTCAAGTCTCTGTCCCCTAGCTGGATTTCATATAATTATTTCTCCCTACTAGTGTTATAAAACACAATTCTGACCAGACTATTTCTATTTAAGATCATTAAATTGACTATTCAATACTAATAGGATAGATTTGAAACTCTTTAGGAAAAGCATTCCTCAAAGTATTGAATTTTCTTCTTTAATTTATGGCTTTGATATCATTTTATACTCTACTTATTAGTTCATGTTAGTACTACAAAATAATAAGGCTGGTTGTGGGAAATTGTACAATACATGTAACATATTTTGATCATTTTTAATCCCATTGTCCTCTCACCCTTTCCTCTCCCCTCCCCTAATGCCTTTCCATATCTTCAAAAGTATAACTTAGTTTCCTGTCACCTCACACATCACTAATTAATTAACTGATTATTTAGGTGTCTTATATAAGAGAAAACATATGATGTTTACCTTACTAAGTCTGATTTATTTTATTTAACTTGGTGGTCTCCAGTTTCTTGTACTTTCTTGCAAATGACATGATTTCATTCTTCATGACTGAATATTAATCAATTGTGTTTTATACCTAATTTTCTTTACTCATCCAGCCATTTATGGACTCTTATCTATTTCCACAACTTAGCTATTGTGAATTACTTTGACAGAAACATGAGTATGTATGTATCACAAGAGTAAGCTCTCTTTTATTCTTTTGGAAACACACCCAGAGCAGATACAACTAGATAGAATAATTTTATATTTTTAGTTCTCTGAGGAGTGTCTCTACTGATTTTTATAATGGTTGTACTAGTTTGCATCCCAACAGTGTCTGTTTTCTCAAATCCTCACCAAATTTCATAGTTTTTTGTCTTCTTGATGATATCATTAATATTCTGAATCATATTTGTTCAATTCAACCGGAAAACATGCTACAGCTCAGTCAGGGAAATGCTTTTGAGGGGTCAAAATTGCAATTAATAAGTGAATTATTTTTTTCATAATAATTTTAACAACATTTCCAAAGCACAAATACTCTTGCAGTTCTATTCACAACACTGGAAATGAGATTATATATTTTATTTATTTTGCTCACTCTCTTTGATAGAAATATTTTTGAGGCTTTTATGAACTTGATTTTTTTATGAATTTGATTTTTGGCTTTTAAAATTTACATAACCTTACTAGCAATCAGAGATGCTTGTGGCTATTAAACTTGATAATTGTAGGTACACTATGGTGGAGGGGAATAATTTATTGTGAGAAACTCATTGGTGTATACAGAATTGCAACATGTGATGGGACTCTATGGACTGAGCCATATTTTACAATTTCTAACACTTACAGTTTTGTTTCTGTTTTAAAAATGCCAGCTTTTGTATAATAGCATTGCCCTTGGTTACAGGAAACTTAGCATTTAATTACTATGAATTATTTCCCCAGAATCCTTTTTACAGAGTTTGTTTGTAAAGAACTCAGCATCAAAACAATATAAATAGATTGTGGATGTTTCTATTACATATAGTAGTAACTTTTCAGTACAGATAGTACATATGTAAGGAAGAAAATTAAACTTAAAATTCCATGAAAAGTAGTATTAGTCTTTTGTATGAAGATATCCTCAAATTTGCTTACATGCAGATATCTGAGCTCTTAAAAAGTATATCATGTTATTCTATGAACTAGCAAATTAATTCATCAAACTTACTGCACAGTCCGTCCTCACAGTGGCCAGGGCAACTGGCACAAGGGGCTCCTTGCTTGTAAGGGGCATATCGTCTTGCCACATAATTACCACTACAAGTTGAAAGGCAAAATATCAAACATTTTTTTAAAATTTTCTGTTACATACATACTCATTAGCAAACGTGATATACACACACAGAGATTTAGATACGTCAAATAATTAAAAATCTAACACTTTCCATGTGAATTCAAATAGCACTGTTGTTGAAACTTCTATAGTACATCCTTATCCTTAGAATATGTTGGTCGTTATCATCTGAATATAGAAAAGAATTAAATTCTTGATTCTAACAATAGGACAAGAAGCCAAGGCCATGCAGCTCTCCTCTCTCAGACAGAATGTGTGAGAAAAAAACAAAACAAAACTGAAATAGGTATAAAAGTGTTCTAGAAGTTTTCATTCTTGCTTACTTCATTTTTTTCCCCACTCTGACTCTCACCAAAGAAGCCAGGCCCTAGAAATACTCATCTTTTCACCAGGCACTTAATCATCCCCTTAGAGTCCTTTAATTCCTTCTCCAGAACTCTAATAGGACCTAGCTGAAAATAAACTTCTAAGATCACTCTTTTGAAATTGGAACTGCACATCATCTGGTATATTTAGTCTTAAAGTGAATCATGTAAGAAGCTTGGTTGGTTAAGACCCTCTGCATTCAGTGGTTAAAAAAATTTATGAATGAGAAGGAAATTAAAATCGACAGATAGATTGTTAACATATCTTCATTACGTCTGGCATTATTGACAGTAATTTCGAAAGTGTATACTCACGCAGGACAGTACTGGCAAACCATGTAGTATTTTAACACAGGGTTCCTAGGACAGTGGGCAATTCCACATCCCACACGGGAAGAGGAATACCAAACAACCTACAGGCCAACAGGGGGAGATACGAGAGTATAATGGAGAAGAAGGAAATATACAAAAGCAATGTTGCAAGGTACTTTGTTTCCACCGTCCTTATATGTAGTTAAATTATTGAATGAAATGAACAAGATGTAAAATATTCAGTTTCTCTGTGCATTCATTCCTTTATACCTTTAAATTATCAGAAAAATACAGACTATGTTTCCTTGCAAAAGACCTGCAGCATATTGAAAAATAATAGCTTAAGTACAGCAAATACCAAGACTACTATATGTCCTTACAAGGTTTTCCCTTACATTTCATTTTTGAATCAGGCAAAATTTGGACTCACTTTCCTTTTAGTTTATTTAAGACTAAGTTTTAATCATTTTTTCTTACCTGAGTATAGTGTCCAATTACTGCACTGGGTGTCTTTGGTCCTACATTGAAAATAAAATTTTCCTCCTCATCATACCACAGTTGGATTGCAGATGACCATGAATAGGGAGCACTCGACATGAAGAGGTTCTCACCACAGCTTACATCTAAGAGGGAACAGATCACTCATGAGGAAAGCAGTGAGGAACATAACAGGACTCCCACACATGCACTAACAAGGCAGAGTCCCTGGTCTCTAAACACAGTACCCAGCGCTGCTGCTGTTGGAAATTCATATGCCTCAAAACCTTCACAGCTACAAACTGAACACCAGCCAGATTTGATCAGTGCATGTGGTTTGGCCTCAGCATGCAGAGCTGTGAGTAGACAGGGAAGTCTTTTCTAATGTCTGCTCTCCTAGGACTCATTCACTTACATATTAAATTCTTCGCATATATAAAATATGCCTTGTATGTGCTCAGCTTTTTGTTGGAAACTTACTGACTCCTCTAATTTCTCTCCTCTTCTAACCCATACTCACTGAAGATTTTCGTATATAAAAATTTGATGTAATATTAAAGATTATTATTTTATATACTCTATTAAAAATTTTACAATCTTCTTTAAAATAACAAGCATGAAATAAACAATACCAGGAGAAAAATTTTAAAGCTCCTTAATCAACCAATCAAAACAGCACAGGCCTAAAATTTTCCTCTGAAAATTAGGCAAAAGTATCTCACACCCCGAAAATGTACCTGTATTTTTCAAGCTCTGCCAGTGATATTTATATGTGGATGTCAAATATAATGTCTATCTGTTGCTTAAAGAGAGAATAAATTATTCCTCGATAGTTCATTGTAAAAGAAAGAAAGAAGCTAAGATTTTCATAGTAGGCTGGGATTTTAAAGACCAATTCTTAAATCCTTTTCTGACTACAGACATCATCTTCATAATTTGTAAAAATTACTTTATCATAAATATCAGTAAAAATGAAGATCTGTCTTCAAAACAAGTTAGTTAATTTCAAACTAGGCTTGACTTTATGGATTTTGAAAATTCAATACATATTTTATTTCATAATTCATTTATATGGTTTTTTGTTATTGTTTTCATATTCTTTGATATAAAGTATATGTTCAACAGGTTACTGTTGTTTAACATAATGTGCATTTAGGTACCCAGAACACAGAATTTTCTGTGATCAAATATTTAAAAAGGGGGCTGGGGATTTAGCTCAGTGCTTCCAGTGTCTGCCTTGCAAGCAGAGGGACCTGAGTTTGATCCCCAGTACCAAAAATAAAAAAATAAAAAAAATAAAATAAAAAGAAATAAAACTATGTAGATGTTAATACTAACTATATTTGAGAAAAGTTTAGGGATAATATTGTTTACAATTTTAAATTAATTTTCAAAACAGTCTACATAGTAATATGAAATGATTATTGGATTAGAAGTCAGAAACTCTAGTGTTATTTTAAATTTTTGATATGTGACCTAAATTTCCAATCATTTTCCTCCAGATAGTTGGTTTTCTAATCTTTAAAGCCAAGAAAGAGATGATTAATCTGCTTTACTCCTGAGCTGGTTGAGAGACACAAAGGCGACAGCGTGTAAGACAGCTTTTACAAAACAGAAAACAAAAAACACTAGGAGGTGACTCTCAGAGTTGTTGGATCTACATTCACAGATATCTAATCTGAAAAAAGCAAGCTTAGAAGCAATACTTATTTACAAAAGTTGAATGTTTGTTAATTTACTTACCGAGCTTTCGGTCTTCATTCCTACTGTGACGGTACTTGCACTGGTCTGCCCAGACTTGGGCCTTCCTTGCAGCTGCACTGCTCCATTCCTAGGAGAGGGAAAGAAAAAAAGTTATTCACTCAGTAGCTGAAAAGTCAGGGACACATAATATATAGTCAGATTGGTAGGTTTGTTTATATCTCTATAAGATTTCTCCAATGGAAACTTAAAAATCCCATCATTTCTCTTAATGAGAAACACAAAATATAATTGTTTAAATAGCAAAATAAAGATAGATGATAAGAATGAGGGAAGTAAGCTTTGTTGCAATTGGAAGGAATCTAAGGAGAGGGGAAAACTGGATGCAGAAGAGGGGAAGGGTAAAAAAGATTAAGATTCAGTACCAATTCCCCACCAACAGTATATTCATTATGTATCACAACCATGATAATAAACAGTAAATAAAGTACAGTTTCTACAAAGGCACTGTTAAAAGCACAGATATATATTTTAATGTGCCCTTTTGTGCTACCTGAGTAACTGAAAAAATCTAAGATAGTTATGGTCTGATTACTATAATGGCACCTCAGGCACAACTAATGATTTGGAGTAATTGTCCTACTCTAAATATTATTATTACCAGTTTACTCCTCCTTCCAGGATATTTGGAATATGTGTGGTCATTGGTGCTGGAAACAGAATAGTGCACTGTTAGGCACACTTAACAGCACTGACTACAGGGAGACTCTCCTGGATTTAGATCAAGAGAGAAAAGAGAATGAGCAGAAAAACCCAAACACTGTCCACTGGATGCTTAAAGACATCCTAGTTCTATTGTCATAGCTTAAACAGTCCCATAAATGTGACAGGTTATTTAAGTGTTATCAAGAAATTTGGTCCTGATCATAAAACAAGTGAAATACCAAATTCAAGGTGGAACTTCTTAGGCAAAAGTTGGGAGGTGTCAGTTGCCAGCTGCCTGCTCTTAGCACAGCTCACGGTGATTCAAGACGCCTTCCCTACATACCAATCTCTTACCATCTTTAGCATGTCACTGGCACTTGGAGAGACTGCTCTCCTTAGTTCATTGTGTTTATTTACAATCTCCCTTTGGACTCGTGGTATGGTGGTTGATAAAGCAGCAAACACTTGTTTCTAAAGAAAAATAAAATCAGATTTACTTTTAGCATATTTGAATATTACGTACAAGCCTGAATGTCTTTGATCTTTCAAGAAAACAAGAAAAAAAATTAAAATAGTATTTATTTCAAGCCAGTATTGGGTGTTGAGCATTGTTAAAGCTACTAAGCCAAAGCAATGACTTTTAAATAAAAAAGTAGACTGAAGCCTTGACAATGGATATGTAATCTATGGCAGATTTATATCTTCTCTGAGTCCACAAATGCCAATTTTGGTTTTGAGAGAAGTCTTACCATGATAATTTTCTAGATGTACTATATGAATGATAATATTTTATAATGCCAAAGGTACATGATGGGAACAATTAAAGACTTCACAGTCAATTAGACTGCAACGAGGGATTGTTACGGTGCAGACACATACTTTACTGTAGACTTCAGGGGATCATTGTCACTAGGCTTCTGATATCTAGTCCAAGTACATGTGTGTAGCCCATAGTCTAGTAACAAAGTTTTATTTAATATCACATTTTATTCAAATAATAGATTTCCATTTTTTAAAAAATCTCGAAAGCAAGTTCAAGGAAAGAAGTTAAGCCGGGGATTAGGCTCAGTGGTTCTGCTGCCTGCCTCACAAGTGCAAGGGCCCCAGTTCGATCCCCTGTGCCAAATTGAAAAAAAAAAAGGGTCAAGGATTTAGCTCAATGGTTCCACCGCCTGCCTCACAAGCACAAGGACCTGAGTTCGATCTCCGGTACTGGAAAAAAAAAAGTCAATTAATGAACTATTGCTGATTTTATCATTTTATTAAGACAAAGCTGATGAAGTTTTAATTCAGATAGTAATATCTGAGCTTATACTTTTGTGCATGTGTGGGTCTAGAATGTGGAATGGGGTTATGTGAATTGGTGGTACCAGAATTTAGAGCACTTTGCTGATCTAAATTTACATAAAAATATCCTGTTTCACAGGGAAGAGGACAATTTTAAAGTATAAGTGTGAACTGGCAAGATCCTTACAGAATTTGTCTTAGACCTTCAGATCATTTGTCCACACCTCCCATCATACTGAATCCCCCCAAGACTTCAAACACTGTCCTCATACATCTGACCATATTGTGTTGCCGTTATCTAGTGTACGTCCATTTCTTCTTCCTGTTTTTATGTTCCTGAGTATAAGGACCACTGGTGAATACCTGCTACCAAGAGACCCAGCAAAACAACTGACTGCTAATGTAGATTATATATATATATATTCAGTGTCAGTAATGATCAAACTCTGGATTTTACCACTCCCATAAAATAATATATAGAGATATTTCCTACTGAGCTCATAAACCCATTTAAAATAGATTTTTTTCAAAACACAGATAAATTGGTTTCTGAGAGAGAAGTAATTATTTTCTGCTTCTTATATTTGGTTTGTAGATAAAAATTCTGTCAGAGTTTATACTGGATAGATATCGTGAATAAGTAATCATAATCCTACAGAGTAAAACTGCTTGATGGGATGCTATGTAATGGAGAAGGATTAATTTGAAGTGATGAAGGTCAAGAGTGGCTTCACATGACATCATTATGAATTTCTCTGGTATTCAATTTTTAATTAATGTATAAAGAAAACCATGAGACAGACCGGAGTAGTAATAGATAAAAAGCGAGAGCCATAAAATACAATCTTTAAGAAATTAATTGGAAAGAAAGCAAATTACCCAAATGAACCTCTAGGTGAGGAATAGTCTCCAGATTGATAATGTGACCATTTTTCTCTGTGACAAATGACATTTAATCAAGTGTTGGAACCTAGCTAGCATATGTCTACGTCTAAAGCAGGGCATGTGAATCACGAGTAAATGCACTAAGGTTTTAGCTTTTGGGAGCCCTTGGGAAAGAGGAAGATCACCTTCCTTGGGCACTGCACCACTATGGGTGCCCCAGAGGCCTGGCTAAGTAAGGTGTGCACCACCAAAGTCCAGTAGCAAGCTATGGGACACTAAAAGGGACATGCAAGCTGCCCATAACCCGTGTGTAGAAAGACTTCTTGGCTATGCTTGCTGCACCCCTCTAGTTCCACAATGACTGAGACTCTCTGGGCTCAGCCAACCTCTATGCCACCCACACCCTCTCTGCCCATCTCCTCCTTTATGTAAATTAGGTCTGCTCTATATAAGCTGTAACGTCACACAAAAGCAGAAGTGATTCTCCGAAACCCTACCCCAGTTGGTCTTGTCTCCGTGCCTCGCCCTCTCTCCACAGGTCTCAAAGAACCAGAGTACAACACCAAGAAACTACACATCACTGTCATTAAAGAGGATGATTTACCCTATTCCAGGAATTATTTGAGAAAATTGCATTTTAGAAATAATTGGAGTATGGGAAAAACCCACTTGATAATTTTACTACATTTTAATTTAAAAATAAATATAATTATTCTCACACAATATCTGTAAAAGTTAGATATAGATGTATGTGAAGAAGACGTACTAATTTGAGATTATAGATAAACATACTGCTAATTTTTGGGGGGGGATCATGTCTAAATGGGTTAAATAAAGCCAATCAAATAAGCTCTTGAGACAAAAGGAGTGTTATTAGCTTTAAACCTGTAGGCTTATGCTGTCCCATCAAAACAGTTCAAATACCACATGTGATTTCAACTTTAGAGTGGCCATTTTAGAGATGATAAATAGGTAAATGCATTATATGTATCATATAACAAATACATCTAAATTAGTGTTTTATTGTCATAAAAATCTAAATTTTTATGAGATATTTTACCTCCTTTTGGGGAGACTGCCTTTGAAACCTTTTGTGTACTTAAAATGTGTGCCCACCTTGATTTAGATAACCATGTACTCAGCAGTCAATACACTTACATGGCTCGGGGATGCAGTGCTGGTCGCCACAGCTGTGGACTTGCGTTAATGGCCCAGAGCTGCCAATGAGCACTTTGTGATGCTCCAGTCCGGCCAGCCCTTTTCACGTTTGGACTCTGTTCTAGCATCTTGCTCTCTCTCTCATGGTTTCTTGAGTTGTTTGAAAAGATTTTAACCTTAACCTTACCTCATCCCCTTTTACAGGGAAAGATGGAAGCAGAAGAGCAGTAACCAGCAACAGGATCACTGGGAATAACGCCATTGCTGGGAAAACAAAACAAGGAACAGAGACCTGCATTAAAATGATTATTACAGGGCCGGGGATTTAGCTCAGCTGTTCGGTGCCCTGCCTTGCAAGCGCAAGGACCCGAGTTCAATCCCAGGTACCAAAAACAAAACAAAACGAAACAAATGATTAGTACATCGAGTTGGGGGTGTAAGGAGCTCCATTATCCAAATTCATTAGCAATGTGACAAGAGAAGAACGGCCAAAGGAACAGTATAGTGATGGTGGGCTGGGCTGCAGAGAGACACTTTCCTCAGGGGCAATAAAGAACAAATGAAGGTACTTAAGAGAAGCTTTGAAGCACATTTATTGGTGCTACGGACCAAATGCCTTTTCCTCCCAGTGCCACACTTCAATTCTGCAGCTGCTCTCTTTTAGCCAGTTTTCCTCCTTCCTCGGACTCTCCCTTTGCTCTCTGCTCCCTGTCTGCCCTGTCTGTGCCGTGTCTTCCACCCTTGGAAGCTGGAGGCTATGGGCTGATTCATTAGCTAAAACAAACATTTCTTTTCTTAAACTGTGGGTGTCATGCATTTTGTCTCAGCAAAGAGAAAGTGACTAAGACAAGCTCCCAAACGCGGCGTTACAGGAACTCTTGTGATGAGACTGTGCTGTTGCTTTAGCCCTGAGTACAGCATGTGAAGTTAGCATTTCTTTAAATTAGAAGTTAGAAAATGATATTTTCATATTATTATTTATTTTCATCCCCTATATTTGCCTCTCAACATTTGGTCCCCTGCCATTTTCAGAACATCATTAGTTTTTTTCTCTATAATTTTTTTTTTCCATCCCCATTTCCCTCCCCACTTCCCCTACTTCCATTTCTTAGTCCTCCATCCATTTAAAACAGATCTGTGCACTTCCTATCTATTTATCTTCTATTTTGCTGTTTGTCTCTCTAATATATGTAGCATATATACTATACAATATAATAAATACAGTAGATATAGTAGATACACATATTATATAGTATGCATCTATCTATCTATCTATCTATCTATCTATATATATATATAGAGAGAATTTCTCACATAATAGAAACCATGTGACATTAAATCTTGTGTACTACAAACAAGTACCAATAAATGAATACTTTAAAAATGACATATATTTTGTTAGTGGTGTGCTTTGTTCTTTGATAAACAAAGAAACCTAGAACATTCTTCTAAAAAGATCTGTTGCTCTTTCGTAGTTTTAAACCAGTATGTTCAACTTTGCCAGGGTGTGACTCATTCTCTGTCAAGACTTTAATACCATGCCTCAAATTCCAACCAACCAACAAACAACAACAACAACAACAAAACAAAAACAAAAAAGGAAAAATACAACATTCTCTCTCTGGATCTTAGAAGCGATTGTAATAATTTGATTCCTCCCATTTAAAGGGTCACTTTCACCATTTTTATTAATACCTTTAATATATTGGCATAATTTTGTTAAGTATTTCAATTCTTGTACTCCTAAGAAAATAATAAGTTATACTATAAAAGTTTGAGCATATATATATTTTGGGTCAGTGGTGGTGGTACTATCCTGTGGCTTCAATTTAGTGCCTTCACACTGAGCTACATCTGCACCACCTCTTGAATTTTGAGACAAATCTTCTGAAGTCACTAAGTTCTGACTTTGCTAAACCAATTATTTCAGTTACTTTTTTTTCAAACTAGTGAACTCATAGTTTAGACATTGTGATGTCTTTGTGTGAGGAGTGGAGGGACAAAGGTATTGTATTGTCCCCTTATGGCTTCATTGCTAGTTAATGAACTGTTCAGAATGGATCTGCATTGCTTTAGTCTCATTATGCACTTCTTGCTAACTACATAATTAATGTTTTTGATCATGTTAATCTTTAGACTAAATAATAATTACATTCTTAAACAGCATTACTAATTCCTTCTCCAAAATATAATCCATGGATTAACACCAAAATCTCTGATCATATCCCTGAATAGAAGCACTGAAAGTCTACATAGTAAACTTTTTATTCTACTTAATTTTTATATTCATGTGCAGTATCTTATTTCACCTCAATTTGTTCATTTGCATTTGGCTTTTTCATACACATACTCTAATTTTGGGGAATTCTTCACATCTTCTTAAATGCCAGTTGGCTAAGGATTGTTCATTCTGTGCTCGCCTAATGGTCAACCTGCAGAGATTCCTTTTATACATCTCCAAAGGATTGGCTTTTAGCCTGGTTCCCTTGGGTAGGACAATCCCCTGCCAATGGCTTCCAGTGGCCCTCCTGGAGAACTCTGAGGGCAAAGGAGAAAAACAAAATTTGATAGCAAAAACAATTTGAGAGCAAAACAGAAAAAGATCTTCATTTTGTTTTTAGGCCAGAAACAATTAAAACAATTCTTGCCTTTCACTGTCCTTTGTCATGTTTTGCATACTCCATTTGGGACAGTCTCTTAGTGAGTTATTGCTTAGCATGAATGAGTGAACAAGACAAAATTTCTGTTTCCAGAACCCTGGCAATCATTAGAAGAGCCCACCATTCAAGTACCCACACCTGATTGTTGAACTTTTCAGCATGTGCAAACATGGAGAATAACATTGTATTTTTTTTTTTTAACCCTAACCTATTTCACTGTTTTCTGGAGAGTGGTGGGGGTGGATCCAGGCAACCTGGGGCTGAGAGGATAAACATGTAAAATGTAAATATAACAAAGATTCATCATCAACATGGTCACCATCATATCATCAAAACATTTAGCTCCATCCCACCCTCTCTTCCCTAAGGGCTGCTGTAAACATCAAGTTTAAGTGCAGTGGATATGCTTGCAGTTCCATCGGATAGAGAATTTCCAAAGGCTTTAGGAAAAATTGAATAAAAATCACTGTCTCAAGTTTGTCATTCACTTGCCTGGAAGCAGTTTCTAAATGTGTGCAGCTACACATTTCCTTTACTGTTTCCTAGGAACAAACCTTATATTTTTACCTTCTTTTTAATACATTTATCTTAAAAGATTCATTTTGCCAGATGCAAATAATTTAGTTTTCCATCCTTCCTTCTGCTTTTCTCCTTGCAGGAAAGTTGTGAAACAGGTAGGGAAAGGTAAGGGACTCAGTGAGGTTTCTGGAAACTCAACAATAAAAAAAGTTATAATGATTACTTGAGAGAGAAAGCGATTAAGGGATACTGGGTGTACTGATAAAGAGTCTGGCCCCACTTGGAGCCAGGGTCCCACTTGCCTCCTCTGCAAGTCCAGGCAAGTACAAAGGAGACAAAGTGGGGCGGGGCCTATATTATAGAAAACTTACTGTATAAAAATATATTCCCACTTGATATATATGTTCTCTCACCAAGTTACAGCACTAATTACTAACTTTGCCTTGTATTTAAGGCTCTGCTATAAATTTCAGAGATAACACTTCCTCGGGACAAAGAAGAACAAAAGAAGCTTATCCAAGAATTTGCACTTAGGCAGTGGAAAGAGTCAGTGGCCAAATCAGGGATCTCCAAGATAGCCAATCAAGTTATAACAACTGTCAAGGGGGAGTGTCCTCTTCTTGCCATATAATAAAAGAGGCAAAGAACAAAGACCCTGGAGTCTTCAGGTTCCCTATCTTACTACAACAAGGTAGCTCTCGTGACGCCTCAATGTTTTCCTCTTTCCAATGATGTGATTTTGTTTCTCTTTTTAAAGTTATATCTCTAATTCCTTATTTATATAATGTAATGCTTCCCAGATACCCTCATGAGATGTGATATCCTTTTAAAAAGACATTAGTAACTTTCTTGTGTGCTCCAAGAAAAGCCAAATCCAGAGATCTCATACATTTGTAATTTTAGGTGCTTATGATTTATATCTACAATTCACAAATTTCAGTCCATGTTAAACTCAGAAAGGGCAAAGCAGAAGTGCCTGGGCAAAGGAAAGCTGCTCACCTCCTGGTGACCAAGAAGCAAAGAGAATAGTGAGGAGCCAGAGAGGAAAAATGGCCTTCCGGGTCACAGCCCCAGGGGCCCTCCTCACCAGCAAGGCAGCAAGTCACCTACGGAGCCCCCATGGTCCAAACCTCTTCGAAAAGCCCTACCTATGAGCACATGAAGCTCTTGGGGGACTTCTAGATATAAACCATAGCAACATGTATGGTGAAGGTGCAGTCAAGGGAGGTGTTGCATCACAGGGCAGGGGCTGACCTTACGATATAGTTACACACACAGTCGCTTTTAATTTCTGCTCCCACCTCAAGACAATAGTTGCCTTTATTTATAGAAAAATTCTGCAGCAACAGAACAAACACTTATTCTTTTGCTATAGTTCAACAAGATAATATCAGGGAAAATACAAACCGTTGTGCATCAAGAAAAACAAGATGAAGAACTGAAGGAAATAAAGGTATGTGTAACGAGACTCTCCAGGACTATTACAGCTTAACTTTTTTTCCCTCTGAAATCAGGTTTGTGCTATTAAAAGAGCCATTATATCTGCTATTGATCTTTAATACAATGTATATATTACTTCAAAACAAGTGATCATCTTTATTCTTCTTGCTCTTTATTCAAAGCTAAAAGTAGAGATTGTCGTTAATGAAATGTGATGTATTTGTGAAAAATAATGTGAAGAAATGATCACTGAGTTTTCTAATTGTGAAGTACACTATGCAGTGTTGATTTAATATTGCATGAAGGGGAGGAGTAGGAGGAGGAAGAAGGGCAGCTAAGTAAACTTTCAAGAGCATTTGGAGCATCCATCCATATTAGTCATAAAGGTGGACACCAAATCTTTGTTGAGGAAATTTAGTATTATTGTAGGAGCACATAAAAATGGAGGTGATTAGCAAATGTAAGTGACAGATTGAACAAGATAGCTTTAAAAAGCAGTGAAGGAAGAACAGATTATACAGCACATGGTGTTGGGAAAACAGGCTCACTATATGGAGAAAAAATCATGCCATTTTAAGCATTGCCTTTAAAGGCAAATGTATATGGATTGAATTTAAAAATAAGTAAAATAATTTACATGGAATTTTTCAAGGCCATGTTCCCCTGCCCTAGTTTCGCTACATAGTAAAGTGACATACGTAAAGGTCTTGTTTTGTGCCAGGCACTGTGGCACTCTTATGGCAGTGGTGGCAAACCTATGACACATTATCATGTTTTTCTTTTAAGACAAAAGATGTTAGTGCATGAATTGTTTTTGTCTAAAACGTGGGCATTCAGTTTAATTGCAGTGTTGGCATTTAGTGATAAATGCATGGCTCCGCAGATTGGGCATTCATCTCTGGAAGGTTCTTCATCCCTGCACTATAAGCTTACTTAAACTCACACAAAACCACACAGAAATGTTACTCAACAACTACATTTTACGATTGGCACCAAGGTGTTACTAGCCATTTAGGTTCATAAACTTAGGTTTGTCTGCTTACTACTGATCAAATGAAAGGAGGCCATACATTTGGGTTAAAGGGAAAAGGAATTTATGTAAGGCTAGCTCTAAGGGGATCCAGAAGCTTATTTGCCTGAAATTACTGTCTTACTATTTACAAATTTGTTAGGAACTTTTATATCAGGAACAGTGTGGCACAGAACATAAAGAACAATAGACATTTTTCTGGTTAGTTCCATCCCTTTCTGGACCCAGACCTCTACCTTTCTTGCCTGAGGGAATGAAATTGGATTTCACCTCCTGGTGTCAGGAGCTGCATACTGCTTCCTTTCCTCTCAGTGGAGGAAAGGTGGGGGAGCCGTTTCTGCCCTAGCCCTGAGGAATTTTGGAAGCCACCTGACTCTAAAGGAAAAAGAAATCTGACCTTAAAAAGTTCCATTTTCCACTAGGATAAGAGAGTTAACGATGAGAAACCATAAACCTTCAAGTACAGAACTGACTGATAAGTCCAGACAGTTTGGTTTCAAAGCCCTCACTCCTAACATGGACAGCAAAGAAAAATTTTAAAGGCTTGTGCAGCTTAGAAAATATGCAACTATAAACACCAGTGCATGTGTAGAATATGTGCATTATATCTATGGACACATATAAAGACAAATCATAGCACAAAAAGTATCTGACCCAATATTACTAACTTAAAGTGTAATATTTAATCTTGATTCTTATCACTTTCATTTCATCAGGAATCTATGAGACAGAAAGCAGTCATGTAAGTATAGTTTGCAGCACTGCTAGGCTTCATATGCAAGACATAAAAAAATATTTAAATAAAAATAACTGCCTTACCAGTTCCTGAAAAGTATCTTTTCCTCTCCAAGAATGAAATCCTCCCCTTTTCCTTGAATTGTTAATATAGTATCACTGGTCTTCTTAGCTGTGTGTGATTTACACTGCTTTTTCCAACCCATCTCAGCTTCAACAAATCTGAGCTCGATCCAGGGCCTCAACTCACCTCACAAAGCAACATTAAAGAATAAAGGGCTTAAAACTCAGTAGCAGTTTAATCTTTGATCTGTCTTCAGTTCAGTCATACAGACAGACATTCTAGGCTTGGGTTTTAACTAGAAGAAGGAATACTGGTCTTCTCTGGTAAAAGGTTAGTGGTCCTAGAGCCCCTTGGATGGCATGTGGCCACTGGGGTGAAAAGCACTTATAAATACTTTCTGGAAGTAAAATTTTCTCTGAAGGTGTGTATAACTCCTTTCCTATGGGTGTTAGATAGTTCTATGGTATTCAGAAATTCTCTAGAATTCTTTATTTGCCACAAAACATAAAGGTCTGTAAAAACATTTCTTATATAAAAATACACAATACATATTATATTAAAATTACCTACATAAAATGTGGAAACTTGAGTAAACTTGGATTTTTATTGGAAAACTTTTAAAAATCTTTAAGAAACTTGTGTGCATTTCATGTGATGGATTATATTTTATGTTGATGATCATTAATAAAATATTTTTATCTCAAAATTCTGTTTTAACCAATTTGAAACTATTAGCAAGGATGATTTCTCATGCTTACTCTAGTAATATCTTTATTAGGACACCACCAAATATATTATCATTAATGAACATTACTGCTCAATAGAACCGATGTTTCATTTTTCTAACAATAAAACTAATATAACTGTCATGATATAATTGTTCTAATATAATCTGGACAAGAAAATTAATTATATTGCTACTTTTAAAAAGAAAAAAAATTACTTAAAAATCCAGTTGATAAAAATGTTTTTGGAGAAGTATAGCTTTTCAATATTACCTGTAACATTGAAATTCTCAGCACATGTAATCAATAGGTTTTTTAAATTTATAGATATATTTATTAAATTATAGCTATGTTTATTAAATTATCTTCCTGCCATCATTCAGTTATGAAGCATAAAGAAATGTTCATCCTGAAGTAAAGGAGTTACCACTTACCACTGTTTGTTCTCAAAGCAGGATAAAGAAACTTTTTTCATCTGCTAGAAGAAGGAATTTGGACAAAGACAGATCAAAGTCTTATACATATTACTCCTATTTTCTGTTTAGCAAAGTCTAGTTGTGCAAATAAATCTTGCTTAACCACATCTGAAACAGGATGTGTTTTACCAATGGTCTCAAATTTCATTGCTTGTCAGCTAAGTGCAATTTTTCTATAACTTAGTATTTATCCACAATAGCTAATAAAAATAAATTGTTGTAAAGTTTTTCTTACTACATATTTGTGGTTTTGGAGCTCTGATTTAGTCATAATTGATCTATGCTTTTGCCATTAAATATTTTGAAAATCTCTGGTTCAGATTACTCTCATCACAAGCCCTGAGCTTTCAGGATTACTTCTATAAAGCTAGGAGAACTGGTCATGGTACAGCTTCAGTCCCAGCATCCTGCAAAGTTGAAGCAGGAAGATCATAAGACTGAGGCAGTCTTGGGAATTTAGGGAGATACTGTCTCAAAAGAAAAGACAAGTAAGGGCCAGCCCAGCAAAAAGGCCTTGATGTACCGAAATCTGTGACAAATGTGATTCAGTGCTTGATGGGTTTCTGCAAGATACATTTCACATTCTTGTGCACAATGAGCTATAAGCTGCAAGATGATATTAAGAGAAAAAACAGTTATAATCCTTGAAGTTAATGGTGGAAGGAATGTTCTGAGTAAGGAGGTTCAGGACAGCAGGAAGTGGTGCCTGTGCAACAAGGAGAAAGGAATGACGATTAGGCTTTTGGACTTGAAGAAATGTGCATCACAGTTAGTGTGCCTCTCACTGAATCTCTCCACATGTGACTGGCAAAAGGATTGACGGGGTGCTGAGTCATCTCAATGGTATCGATTGCATATGACTTTTCCCATAATTCACTGTTATAGTTGCATATATAACATGAAGCTCAAGGGTATAAACTGTCAATGAATCTCAGGAAAGGAAAGGTCATTCCACTCTTTCTAACACACATGTTCTTTGGCCTGGCCCTTTAGGAATTTCCTGGTTCTGGGTTTGTTTTGTTTTGTTTCTTCTACTTCTCTTAGTGCAATGGAAGACGAATTGGTCCTGGTGTTGTCTAGGATGAATGGAAGGAGAGTGGTCTCATAGCCTCAATTATTTTAAATATACTACCCCCCTCAAGAGATCTTTCACTGAAAATCTTTAAGGAGCCCAGAGGGAAGAATGTCTATTTTCCATGGATGCTTCTTGGTAAACAGGGGCACTGATCCTACCCATGTGAAGACCAAGGAACTCTCCCTGTCTCATTTAGAGGGCTATGAGAGACTTACTACTCCTCTGAGGATTTCCTTATGAGCTATAGATGTGGAGGTAGGTTTGGTACTTGGCTCAGGCCATCAGTGTTAGATTAACAGCTATTAAACAAGAAGAAGCAAATTTGACTAAAAGAGTAAGTATATGAGGTCTAAATAGTAAGTTTAAGAGAAATATTAATATAGATGCAGTCCAGGGAAGTAATCAAGATGCCTAATTCTAGACTTTAGGTCTATGACTCAGATATTTCCTGGCAGATCATAGAAGTGTGTTCAGCTAGCATTTGCGCTGTATCTCTCACTATTTCGGACTGATCAACATAGGAGCTGCATTTTTCTTTTAAAACAAATGTAATTGGCCTTTCCCATGGCTAAGAAATCTGTTCATTGATGGTTTTAAAGGGTCACTGCTGCTAGTGAATCTCTTTGATTTTGGAGGATATCAGTACTTTGGGCAATTTCATCTAGCCCATCTCTCAGGTTCTCAGGTAACTGTTGATATTAGGAGAGAGATGAGGCTAAATGTAAGGTTTTGTGTAAGTAATCACTGCCTATTTCCTCTTCAAGAGGCAGTCTTTGAGTTATCCAAGACTATCTCAAGTGAAACAAGAACATGGAAATAGAGAGATCATTTATAAATTTAGCCAAGGACCTTGAAGTGAGGCATGGCAATCAAGAGAGTACCAAAACTAGGTACACAATATACTTAGGGGGAATCTCTATTCCTGGATGTAGCTTTTCATTTTACTTAAAAGGAACAAAATGTTTTTCATATCTGGTCAACAGGTTGGTTGGTTTTTCTTTTCTGACAAGAATCTTGAGGCCATTGATTGGTTCAAAGCCATCTCTCTATGAGAATCGCTATCTTTCTTGGTTTGTGGTGTCTCAAGTGGCTTGGGCTTCACTTTGGAGAGGTGACTACAACTATCTAGTCCCTGTATCCTAACGGTGGAGAGTGTGGTTTAGGAGAGCTGTGTAAGGGCCTTTCCATTTGAGAATGAGTTGTTCCTCGGCTCCCTGCTTCTTCCACATCTTGATTAAGACCTGATAAAGCAAGGTAGATTTTGAGCTGATGACTATTGTTAGTCCCTGGGAATGGAAAAATAATATTTCCATATTCCTGGAGGGCCTGTTGTAAAGTTCCTGAATGAGTGACATGTTCAAGGAGCTGGGAAGTTTTGTTGTAAGTAGTTCAGATATCTAAAGGGCCTCCTATAAAACTTCTCAAACCAGAAGGGATTAAATTTCAATTTGGAGGCTGCCCAAAACTTCATTAAGGCAATGAAGATATCTGTCACTTGTGGTGAGCTTCTTGACACTGCTTGGCTAAGGTCCACTTGAGGGTTTGATTGGCTCATTTGACTTTCCCTGAGAACTGGTGGTGTGATTTGGGATGTGAAGTACAGCCCATTATCATTGTGGAGAGACCTAGGCAGCTCAAATCTAGGGATCACTTCTTTAAGAAGTTTTACTTCCTTAAAAGCCCATTCTGACCTGTTAGGAAAGGCTTCTATCCACCCCGTAAAGTATCTACACACACCAAGAAATGTGTATAACCCATACACTGAGGAGTATGGGTCAAGCCTATTTGGTAATCTTCCCAGAAGAGGATGCTTGATATTTTATCAATTCAGACAATAAGGGCACACGAGTCTATGGATTATTGAGCGCAAAGACAAAGCACATCTTACAGACCTGAGTTACACTGTTATAGACTCCAGGCCCTATAAAAAGCCTACGTGCATAGCAGTGGTAGCATTAGTAAACGTAATACAACTGGGCCTGGGAGACCACTTCCCTGCGATCCACCTGAATTTGGGCAATGCTCTAGGACCAATCCTCTCCCCATTCTCCCAAGAGAAGAAATAATAAAAAAAATGACCCAGGAGATTCCCAAAGGTCAGGCCAGAGAACACGCATGTTAGATTTTATGACTTGATCTTCAATAACTATTTACCCACTCGAACCTCTTTAAAGTTTCATGCCCAAAAACCATATCCCATGTATGTGATTAAACCAGAATGGACTCTGATTTAAGAAATATGCTATAAGTAGTTCCTGAAATTTTATGACAGGAGAGCCAAAGAGAGGTATCTGGGGTGGGGTAGCCATTTTTTTTTTTTTTTAATCAGAGGGTCTGATTTATCTTGTCTTTTTTCTATTTCCCTGCTGTTCTGACAACACTTTTCTATTGGAGCCACTGTTGGCATGGACCTACCCTGAGTGCACCTTCCTGTTATATTCAATATATGTAGCTGTTTTCCTTTTTAACCTTTAGTGTGCACTTGCAATCCTTGCTCATCATATACAAGAATAAGAGTCTAGAATCTACCTGTTGGATGCAACGGACAGTAGCAGTGGCATCTCACCTTATATGGAAGGCATCAGGTAGGGATTAATAATTTTGCACTGAGCTCATTGTGACAAGAACAGCCTGGGGTCAATATACCACCACTGACCCTTCTGGACTCCTCCCTCATCACAAAGGATTTGACTGTCTTCTGCACAGTATCCAAGCTCTAAGTCAAAAATCTTGAATTAGGACCACAGGAAAAGCTATTGATGGACAGGGACTATTTTGGAGGGTAGCCTGTTTGGCAGCAAAATCTGCCATAGAGTTACCATGGGAAAAAAGGTTCAAGGAGGCTTGATGTGCCTGGAAATGGACAACTACTACCTTATTTGGGAGATTTACTGCCTTGAGGAGTTTCAGGATCTCTGGTCTATATTTTATTGGCAACTGGCAGCTAATCAAAAGTGTTCTTTCTTTCCAGATGACTACATGCATCTGCAAGATCAAAACCATTGGAGTCATTATCCATATTGGCTCTCCTGGCTCTGGGCAAGTTGAAGAGCCTGAGTGAGGACAATACGTTCTTTCTCTTGACCTGAGTAGGGATGACTGTGGCATAACTTGTCCTCCAAATACAGTCCGTTAATAAAATTGCTGTCATCAGTAAACCATGTGCTAGCCATCACTATCAATAGCATTTCCCACAGATCTAAGAAGGTTGCATAATTCTGGGCAAGCTTGATTTTTTTTTTTTTTTGTGAGACAGGGTCTCACTATGTAATTGAGACTGACCTGGAACTCACTATGTAGCCCAGGCTGGTCTCGAACTCACAGCAATCCTCCTGCCTCAGCCTCCTGAGTGCTGGGATTACAGATGTGCGCCACCAAGCCCAGCTAAATAGAAAATTACTCGCTGTTTTTTTTTTTTGTACTGGGAATCGAACTCAGAACTGTGCTTGCGAGGCAGGCGGTGGAACCACTGAGCTAAATCACTGCCTCGTGGGCAAGCTTGATTGGAAGGAGAGGATCTGAGTTTAGAACTGTGCAAGATTTAAGGGAGACATATTGTTTCGAGTTAAGGATGACCTGATATGAAGAGAAACTTTCTCTAGTCGTCCACAAGTGTCCCTTGAGTTCTAACAGGGCCTTACCCTGGCATGCGATTATAAATGAGAGTTTCTGTCCCAATGTTATTTTGGAAGCATCCTGGACTGAGTGGCATAGTGGCTATTGCTCATGAGCAGCTGGGCATGCCCTGTCACCCCATTTAGTCATTGGTTAAAGTTGGCAACTGGCCCAGATGCAGGGTTAGTAATTCAGTTAGCTACTCCCTGTTTCTCATCACAAAGAGACAAAAAGGCTTAGTGAGGTCTCAGATCCCTAGTGGCAGGGCCTGCAGTGGAGCTCATTTTAGGGCCTGGACCTACTCTTGAGTGGCTGACATTCATGATAAGGATTCCACTTTTGGTTTC